GTTGTGAATATGCACATAAATGGTGTGAGATATTTCTTAATGATGATTTTGCAGATTTTAATAAAGATAATCCTGATGGAAAACATTCAGAATCAGTTTTTGATTTATATCCGAAACTAGAGGTCGAACCAAATTTTTTGTAGCAGAAGCATATCAAGAAAAACCTGCTAATTTTACCTAGTTTCTTAAGGTAAAATCAGTCGTCTTGTAAAACAAAGTTTAGTCAATCCTGTCTAGAACAGACGGATTCGAAGTAAGGCAATGGCTAAAGCCAGATACAAAGAAGTCAACATTCGTATGTACAGTGTGCAAATTCTTAGCCCATTTAGACTCGTACGAGTATTGTAGAGATGGCTTTATTGAACAACAATCATTAATGCAATTATGGCTATCTAATAAATTTTTAGAGAATTATTTTAACAGAGAATTTTATACTTGAAATTATAAGTATTCTTCATCATTTCTGCTTGGTTGAACGGTAATTGTTAGAATGTTGTAAAATGAGGATTTTTTTTTCTCAATAACTTTATTAGCATAATATAGATATAAATAGCGCAAAAGGGCAAAGTGAGGACAATCCCCTTATATGCCCTTATATAAATAAGCTGATATGAAAACTATTTGAATGACGATTGTTAACAGAGTGATTCTCATATGTTTTGCACCATTTATCTACGCGTGTTTCTTTATTTCGCGTGAACGTTAAAAATCTCGACTTTTTCGATCTCATATGAAAGAGCAAACATCTTTGAGTAACATGACGTTTGGCCATTGAAAAAATAATGCCGGTTTGATTTAATGTTTACTTTGACAGAAACAGAATAAAACACAAGTGTCGTTACATGTCTGGGAAGAAGCAAAAGGATTCTAAAAACGCTTATAAACTCCACTACCAAAAAGATATAGAAACAAATACATTATTTTTCCAATGAACAAACACCAACAAGGAAGCTCTACTCTGTCATTCGACCTTTAGCAAAAGTTTCGCTTTCGTCTCCTCTCCGGTGTTTAGTTTGTAAAACGCCTTCAGGTGTTTTTAGTTTTTTAGTTTTTGACGACAAAAACCTTTTTTATGGGCGAAACCCCAGTTTTCCCTCCGAACTTAAAAATCCTAAATTTCTCTTTTCATATCCCCACACAGTAACTACTTGACTGCGTGATGACGCAAAGATATCCAAAAACTGTTTGTTCTTCCATGCAGAAAAGATATTTCAAAAATAGTCCTAGAATCTAAAAATAATAACCCGTCATTGACTACGTGACACATGTGACTGGGGACATCGATAGTCTGGGCATCAACTTAAACATTGACGCAAACCCGATGTCTCTATCACTTTACAAATCTGAGATATTTTAGCTGTACTGAAACCGTTGCCTCATGCTCAAACCGCTATTTCTGGCTGGGACATTGTTTTGAAAACTTCATAGCTCAGTAACAACGCATTAATCGCCAAACGTCCTGTTACTCAAAGATGATTGTACCTCTAATGGTGATAGCTATCATATAAGAAAGAAAATGTAAAAAAGTTTCTATTATAATACTCTGATACATTCTGACTTGATTTATTTAAGATCTTGAAATTTCTATTCCCAAGATCTTCGCCGAGATCTTGACTTCTTAATGTTTTTCTAAAACTTGTGACATTTCTTAACCTAAGATCTTGAGTACAAGAAGTTTTGCTAGGGGTTTCAATTTCAACGCTCTTGCATGATTCTGGCAGATAATTTTGATGAAGTTTCATGTACATCTGTGTTTCCGAGCCTGAGGAAAAATTTTAATTCGTACTTTTTTGAAAATAATTTATTGGCAAGAATATGATTATCTCCATAAAATAATGATGGTTATAATTATAATAATATAGTCTGCTTGTATGAAATACAATCTTCTATGATGCATTGGGAACACTCTAAATAAGCAAATAAAAGAATGTATCATAGTGATATCTGGTAGAAAGTATGCCTGTTGATTTTCACTTTACAAAAGTGTTTCTTCCAATATTGTGCTAAAGCGCTATTTAGAAGATATTTTCATACTCCGTGACTTCCCTCTACCTTGTCTTTTGTAACCGTAACCTGAACGTACTAATGGCGTGTGGTAAAACATACCACGAGAAAACTACTTTGCGAGAAAACTAAAGTCAAATAAAGTCAGCTGAGTGAAATTCGTATCAACACGTTCTGACGCCTGAAGCGACGCAAGATTATCTTTTCGTCCAAACGTCCAATCAGAACTTTGGAAAACTCTTGTCTTGTTATGATTAAACGATGGATACAAAATAGAAAAAAGAATTTTATTTTTAATTTTTTCAAGTCCACCGTTAAACTATTATAGAGGAAAGCCTCAACCGCTATACTGTAGACGACCTCTATTATCATATTTTCACAAACCCTCTACTTTAAAAATAAATCTCTATAAGCAATTTGAGTTGTATACACTAGAAACCTTCTAACAGAAATTTGTTTTCAAGTCTTTTGAAAAAATTGAACAAAATAGAGAGTTGGATAAATGTCATGACAATGGCGACTTTGTAAAGTTAGGATGAATTAGTGTTAGAACAGATTATGTTGATCAGTCAGTTGAGATAGCTTACGATATGATACGTCAGGACCAAAGGTTAGGCGCAAAGCTCAAAATCAACACGTCCAGGGAGACACAATTTCGTTCTATGTATCGCACGCTCCGCGTTCTACAATGTAACGTGCTTCTAAAAATGGAACGCGGAGCGTATGACACATAGAACGAAATTGTGCCTGACTCAGCAGTTTTGGGATTTGCTATATTAAATGTGAATTTATATTGTTTGCTCTTAGCATATCTCATCCAGTGAGTTCGAGCAATAAACTTCTGCAGTTTAACCGCACTCTTATTTCACAATGTAAGAACGCATAGACAGTATGATTAAACTGCAGAAATGTCAAAATGTTTCTAATTCTTTGGTTATTAATTAGTCATTTCCATTTCAAGATCTGCCCTGATTTTTATACAAGAACTTCCTTATTATGTAAAATATTAGCCGCCTGCACCCATGGCGACGTGCAGAATATAGGAGCAGAAATGTAGTTTTTACCACATATATTAGATTTACCATCACTTACAACCTTGTAATATTTACACAACTGAGACTTACTCTTTTCCGCTTTCGCATTATTGATTGCAAGTAACTTCGCTGAAAATACAAGACATAATCTGACTTAGTCTTCTAGTTATTTTTGTATATATTTTATTTACTTTCAGTCCTCCCCCATTAAGGCATGGAGAAAATTTGGGAAATGCATTACACAAGTTGATTTTGAACGTTTGACATATTATATCAGTTTTCGGTTTTTTTTGACACTCTTCATATCTGACCTTCAATGCACTCAACAGATTTTTGCATTTTTGTTCCGCTTGATGGGTTACACAATAATCACCACGATCCTTCAGTACAAATGAATCCGATGGGATCTAGTGAAAAGGAAAAGTTTTATTAAATTAAAATATATTTTGAATCGAAAAGTGTGTAACTTACCGTCGTCCAATCGTCTGATCCACCACCATTATAAGGTGGATAAAAGGGGTCAGGCTTCTAAAAAGTAAGTCTAGGCTATAATCTATTCTGTCATTTCTCTTGAACATACGTACAACGTTGATCGATGAATAACAATAGAGTTCAGTAGGAAATATGTAGCAGTATTTGGTTTTGACATCATCACAAGCTGAGACTGGTGTTGTCATGTCTCGACATTTTCGTAAAAGGTCTTCCATTTGCGTTTTGATTCGTGAGCATTCTTCGGCATAAGGGTTCTTCGTACATTGATCACGCATTATGTTTAAACTATCTGAACCTGCCTACAAAACAAAACTAACGAACACAATTAAAAAATCGCTCATGAA